TTTCATGTCTAAACAGGACTATACTGAGTTGAAAGTATGCCAGAGCCAATGTATAATGAGAACGGTTTTAGAAGCGTCGACTAATTAAGTAAATGTATAAAACCGAAGGTGTTGACAAACATATATCATTGAAGGAATTACCAATAATTGCCAGGTGCCAAGTGAGGTAATAAAAATTTCCCTTTTACTGATGAAATGTGTCTGATTCATTTGTATTGTCTCCTTTGCCAGCAAAGAAAACATAGCCTCCACAGAATTTCACTCCCCATACTCTCCCTGACTGCTTCCTCATACTCAGTTCTGAAGGAGGATAATGGCTCATCACAGAACTATTACACTGGAGGTATGTATTTTATACGAAACGAGCTATGGTTATGTCTTCTTCTTCTTCTTCTTCTTCTTCTTCTTCTTCTTCTTCTTCTTCTTCTTCTTCTTCTTCTTCTTCTTCGCGTACTGTTTCATATGCTCAGGTCAGACCATCAGGTGGATTGCCTCTATGAAATAGCATGTCAGTAGCAGGTCCTTCATAGTTCCCTATGAACTGCACACTTTGCTCTTGAGGCCAGGTGTCTTTTCAAAGTTGTAGGTAGAGTGTAGGTAGGTAGGGTGACCACAAATGACAGAGATATGAAAACAATCAACAAACACAAAGAAACTAAGCCAACTCTTTCTTGATTCATTTTAACATTGTCAATAAATATGTCATATCTATTCTTGAAGTTTATTTACTTCGAGAAATGGAGGGAGATATTGTTATTATTAGTATAAATATATTTAGGTTTGGAAAAATAAGGTCCAAAGGTGGACGAACAACCAGAACTTTCCGCCAGAGTTTACAACCGGTGAGCGTGAAGAGCAAGAAGAACTGTATGGATAATAAAGTAGAAGTACAGTAACTTAAGTACCCTTTTGACACCACTGGCACATCAGGCATATGGTGCTGGAGCCATGTTTTTTTTAGACCAGTCAGTCGCCACTCAGTGGATCTTCTTCTTCTTTCTTTTGTCCGAGAGACGTACTTGTGTTGTGCTTGATTACAGCTAAGCTGCGGTATTTGCACCTTTCGGCTAACACATCCAACTTCATCAAGCATTTGATGAGCAGTTTAAGTTCCCAGATAGTATCATGGGACATGAAGTAGCTGTATTTCTTCTTCTTCTTCTTCTGTGCTAATTGAATGATGTGTTCAACATTAAGCCAGCCACCTTTATTTAATTGATTGATTGATTGAAATAGGGCTCGCATTCGATTCCTCCACTGCACTCTATTGCATGCAACTCTATTTACTAGGACTTTTTCTGATACCGATTATAGACTGGATCTATCTGGAAGCCATCATTTATCAAAATTCTTTTCAGTACAAAAGACCTTTATGGCCAGCAAGCAGCTATCTTACCACTCTGCTCCCACCACTCCCACAGACAGTAGAGACATGAAATATGTGAACTATTTACTTCCCAGAGTCGAAGGGAGTTGACAATCTTGGATTTGTTGAAGTCAACATCGAGCCTGCAGAAGATGATCCAAGGCCGCCAGCTGAAGTCACTGCCCACCCACGGCTAGATGGAGTTCACTTATCTGTCACCAGTGATGATACAATTTCAGTTTCAGTGGGTACACGTTTGTCTTCTGAATGTTCTCTTTTCATAATTTATTCTGCTGTTTGATCTGTTAAATGATTGATCAAGCTCAGCACACTTCTGCCCCCCTGCTGACTGTAAAAGGCATAGCCTGTGAGGAATGAGAGGCTCAGTATAAGTCATGAGTAGGATGTGATGATTCTTTGGGTGAGCCCAGTGTATTGGCTCTGTAATTTGGAAGCTGTCTCAGGTGGTGGGCAATGCTCATCATTTGCCCCTACCTTTTCCTGGGTGCTGACCATGTGGCTTCTCTGGACCGGCCTGATGTTGGGCATCACCTGTGACCCAGGAAACAAAGATGACCAAACAACAATAAGACTGCAATGTCCCAGGAAACAAAGATGACCAAACAACAATGAGACTGCAATGTCCCAGGAAACTAACCAGGAAAACTAACCTGGGCAACAAATGCCTGCAGAAGTTGAATGTGTCGGCCAAAAGGCGCAAATATCATAGCCTTCTTGTAAACCGGTACAAGGCTTCTTTGGATGAATGCAGAAGAAGTAGAAGCTGAGCGCTGTCAGTTGACTTTGATAAACTGAGGCAAATGTTGTTGTGCTTAGCAGTAGAGATATGTGGTTGATGCTTGTAGTTGAGAACACTTAGTGCCATAATTGTTTAGTGCTTAACAAATACTACCTTTGTTATATGGTGTTCGGCTTTTATATATTCAGTGTCATGATGTATGTGGTAGGGTGATCAGTTCACATATTCAGTGTCATGATGTATGTGGTAGGGTGATCAGTTCACATATTCAGTGTCATGATGTATGTGGTAGGGTGATCAGTTCACATATTCAGTGTCATGATGTATGTGATAGGGTGATCAGTTCACATATTCAGTGTCATGATGTATGTGATAGGGTGATCAGTTCACATATTCAGTGTCATGATGTATGTGGTAGGGTAATCAGTTCACATATTCGGTGTCATGATGTATGTGGTAGGGTGATCAGTTCACATATTCACTGTCATAATGTAAGTGGTAGGGTGATCAGTTCACATATTCACTGTCATAATGTAAGTGGTAGGGTGATCAGTTCACATATTCGGTGTCATGATGTATGTGGTAGGGTTATCAGTTCACATATTCACTGTCATCATGTATGTGGTAGGGTGATCAGTTCACATATTCGGTGTCATCATGTATGTGATAGGGTGATCAGTTCACATATTCACTGTCATCATGTATGTGGTAGGGTGATCAGTTCACATATTCGGTGTCATGATGTATGTGGTAGGGTTATCAGTTCACATATTCACTGTCATCATGTATGTGGTAGGGTTATCAGTTCACATATTCGGTGTCATGATGTATGTGGTAGGGTTATCAGTTCACATATTCACTGTCATCATGTATGTGGTAGGGTTATCAGTTCACATATTCACTGTCATCATGTATGTGGTAGGATGATCAGTTTTCTTCTTTGTCATTTTTCCTTCCTCCATTTTTGGTGAAGTACTTGAAACCAAAGCCGCGTCCGTGGCTAAGGCATTGCGAGTCTGACTCGTAATCCAACGTACAGCAATCGAACCTGCGTGGGCTGCGTGGATTTTTGCCTCAAATGGGTACCAGGATGGGCTGTCCTGGGAAAGTAAAGACGGCCGGCGTAATGCTGACCACATTACCTACCGAGTGCCGATTGGTCTGTAAAAATATGGGTGCTCTTCCCATATGCCCGATGCGCCTAAGGGCGTGTAAAGGGATCTTTACTTTTTTTTTTTGGTTGCAGACTTGATTAGTCACATCTACAGATTTAAAAGATATCACTTTGTTGGGTTTTTTTGTTTTTGTTTTTTGTAAACACTTAGCAGTGTGTTAATATTTAAGAGCAATCAGTAGAGCAGTTTTGAATTAAATGGGTGCTGTCATAAACTCAGAAAAGGCGGCTATTCTGTGGTGCTCTCTGGACAATAGAATTGTAAGAGCTAATGTTCAAAGCCTCACAAAAAGAGGAAGCAAACTGAGGTACCTGGGTATTACTTTCAATAGAAGCCTGTCCTATAGGGATCACGTGGAGGCAGCTGTGGTGAAATGCCAAAAAGGTCTCAATGCTCTCAAGATTATGGCAGCAATGGACATGAAACAAAGAATGTTGTTCACAATGTTCCAGCATATGATTCTGTCGGTGATAGTTTATGGACTTGGAATGCTTACCATATCAAAGAGTCAGCTGATGAAACTTGAACGCATACAGAATGAAGCCTTGCGGGTAATTCTGGTATGTACAAGAGATACCCTAGTGGTATGTATGCGAGATATATGCTTGCACTGCCTACTATTGCAGACAGGCTCAATGTTCTGCAAGCAAAGTCATATCTCAGAGTAGCTGCAGACAAGCAGCACCAAAGTGTCCAAGCAAGTTTCAGACTTATCTAGGGTTCTTATCACTTTGGGTCATGACTGCAGGGACAGGCCAGCTGGTGCTGCAGAATCAGAAGTTCAACAAATGATTCATGACAATTCCCACCCAAGTGATGTGATTATCTATACAGATGGCTCTGTGTTGAGGGGAAGACGAAGTACATGAGGGTTCATAGCCAAAGCGAATGGACGTCGCCTAGTGCAACAAAGTCTGGCATATGATATCACAACGTCTAGTTTGAGAATGGAGGTGGAGGCAGTCATTGCTGCATGCAGTAATTATAACTGACTCACAGAGCATGTTGAGAAAGGTGGAGACAGGTATGCTCTGTGCAGAGTGGCAAGCATCACTTCAGAGGTTCCGGGTAGTTAGCATCCTTTAGATATTCTCTCCATTTGATGCCAGTGTGTTGGGAAAAGAGCAGGCAGACTGACTGGTCGGTTCTGCCCCACTTAGTGGTGAATTGATGTATGACAGGCTAGATGTGAGGGCCCTCTGGGAGCGAGTGAACAGTGAGGAAGCGCAAATAGATCATTACGGTCTCAGGAGAATGGCGCTGCGAGGAGTTACCAGAATCATCTGGCCGATGCTCAAGGGAAAGGGAAAGGGATATACAATCAGGCAGTTACTGGTACCATCAGAATTGGAACTCTTCATTTGCTGCTGAAGGTGGGGACGGAGCACTAATGAAAGTATCCAGAGTGCTGTGATGTCGATTCTTAATTCAGCATTCAACATTCTGTTGTTAAAGGTATCGTTGCCTATGTACTGTTCTTCAAAAAATCATTGTCTTTTGTATTATTATTATTCAGTTATCATCCTGTATGTGGTGAAAATTTATATAAAAGACATTTGATTCATCTTTAGAATGCTTTTTCATTCCTCTGCCATTTATAAAGTGGACTTTTCTATAAATATTTGTCACAAGTAGCTAGAGTGCTTGGTTCATTACTGTTTAATTAGCATTAACTTTACAATCTGGTTTTTTTTTCCAGTCAGAAACACGGCGACGTAACAGGATGCGGAATGACAATGCTGCAGCGATTGCTGTCATGAGGAGCAGCCAGACAATTTGTCCTGATGATACTGATGCCCTGATGGACTTTACAGGCACTGATTCTGAAGTCATCTTTAACGAAAGAACAGTTTTGTGACCTTCGACGACAGATAGAGAACTACTGACTTCCGTGAATGAAAAACTTTGTGATCTCCTGTAGGAAACTTAAGAGTACTGACTGATGAAAGTACACTTGTTTTTGTGATAGATTAGTTTTATGATCATTTGCAGTAGCTTTTAAAGCTTTGGTTCTGACCTGAAGGTCAAAAGGTCTTAGATGATAAGACCACAGTTAATTAGTAAACCAAAATGACATAATGTCATTTGGATAACCATATTTTTGTTTTGTAAATCAAAAGGCACAAAGCCTGAGGTAGAATTGGGGCGGGGGGGGGGGGGGGGGGGGGGGGGGGTGGGGGGAGACAAAAAAGGTAACATTGAAAAGATGTTGAATTGGCCAGGATGTTCTACAAACATATTCGCACATACACACTCACCTCACTAGCACACTGTATACACCCACACACACAGGTCTTTCTCCCTCTCTCTCTCTCTCTCTCTCTCTCTCTCTCTCTCTCTCTCTCTCTATGAACATTAACAACTATGAGAGGACAATCTGGACAACCTTCTGTGGCATGGAAAGAAGTCAGCACACACACTGGTTCATGTGGAGAAGGATGAGCAAGTGTGCCACTCAGCATGGTGCTTGATGTGGATGAAATGTGAGGACAGTTGAAATGTTGGGCTCTTCTGCATGTACGCATGTGTACATAAAAGGCATAACTACAGGGACATTGAAAAGTAACTCCCTATTTTAAAACTTATACATTTCTTTTATGGTAATTTTTGTGTCACATTGTTTTTTTTTTCTTTTTCCTGCATAAGAACGTAATCTGCAAATTTTAATTGTTTGTATTTATGTTTTAGATTAATTTTGTTGTGTTTTGAAATTTAAAAGTCCTTTGAAAGAATTTGAAGGATGGATACTAGAAATTATGTTTTCCATTTCACAAGAGTTCCTGGTGAAATCAGTTGACACAATTCCTGAGTGGGTGGCTCGAGAAGCTGCTAGTGAAATCTGGTGCCCATATTGAATTTAAATTAGAGCTTCATGCTAAACGCTTTCCTCTCGTATCCTTTCTTGTAAAAATTATAGTTAATAAATAAAGTTTAAGTACTTTTTATTGGGATGTTACTTTTTAATCGTCCTGCATATAAGAATGCTATTGTTGGACTGTCCAGCTTCAGTGATCTGGCAGCCCATTGCTGCCTCCATCTCTAAATATACCTTATTACTGCTTGATTACTTATTTGTTTGTATACAAGTTTTTAAAGAAACAGGTGTCATCATCTTAACTTCAACTGCTGTCATGAATGTGTGAGATTCTGAAAAAGACACCTTTACGGATGCAGGACTACAGGTTAACTGGGGCTGATGTATCAGTTACAGCTGCCCAGTTATAACTTCTTTGAAGGTTGAACTGGTTACTTTTGTTTTGGAGAATAGGAGGAGTAATTAGTAAACATAAACGCAGTAGCGAACTAACTAGATGACCTTTCATGGACTATTCAAAGTGACACATACCTGATATTCTTATTCAGTCGCTGGGGAAACCCTAGTAGTAATAGAATATTATGACATAATATTTTCTGTTATGAAAGTCATTAGTTCACAAAGAAGCCTCCTTTGAAATCTATTTTTAGTAATTATAAGTGTAATGATGCTATAAATAGGGATAACGTCAGGGGATGACTGGCATAATTGGGTAAGTCCCTGAGAGCATGGGTTTCACGGAGTAATGTTGAAACGACAAGAGAGAGTGAGTCACGTGTGAATGCGAGATCTGGGGGATTGAGAATCAGGCGGTGATTCGGTGACTGGGCCCCAGACTGGAAGGATGTGAAACTGAATCTGTGAAGATGAATCCAGAATGAAGAGAGCATGTGGATCTGAATCAGAGTCGAATGAATAATCGTGGAGGCCATGCAAAGCACCTCATCACATATTTTAATTCGGTGTGTGGCCGGCGGGGCGTAGATGACACCGTTTTTCATTGGTCGGCAGCTGACCCCTCGCAGCTTGCTGTGTTTATAGTTTCTGCTAGGGTGAAGACGTTGTATCGCACACTGTTTTCAGTCTTACCTTGGAAAAAAAAATTGTTTTCCTATGATTGAGGTCTGCGTGGTTTCGAATTTCCTTCGGACAAGCTCCCCACTTGGAATGAGTCGTGGTTTGACTTGGAATGTATCTTGGCTCACTACATATTAGCTTTCGCCACGGCTCACTCTCTGGATGTTTACTGCTACAAAACTTGCACTGCTTTAACGTCTAGGGTTGACAACGCAAACTCCACTCAGCTTCTTTATAAATGCTATCAGTTTATTCTGGTCCATGTATTCAACATGCTTAAACAATTATTCTCAATTCTATCACTCGCGACATATTCGAACACTAACCATTCGCACAACATAAAGACGACATCTTCAAATATTACAACCGTCTTCTCTGACTTCTGTTGATCAACTGACCACGAGGCTAGCTCGGGCTTTCCCTCGTGTACTCGACTAGCCCCAAGTATCTCGTGCTGTCTCTTGTTGCACGGACTTTCTGCTTGCCACAATGTAATCGTGGAGGCCATGCAAAGCATCTCATCACAATAAGATCTAACGGCCTCTCAAAAATAATACTACAAGGCTCAGTAGAGGGGAAGAGGCAGACCAAGAAGGACCTGGGAACAGAACTTGACTGACTGGTCAGGCCTTTGGCCTGCAGCCAGGAAGTCTATCACAACTGACCGTCAGAGGTGGAGGAAGCTGCTCAGACAGTCACCAGCAACTGGTAATCCAACAGCAGGCAGTGTTACTCGATGGTAACGATGAATCTGTTCCAGTCCTAGTAAACATTTGCGCAGGCTTCACAGTACTGCTAGCTTTGCTTCTTGTAAACACATCACTGTAGCATGTCAGTAAAGCTTCATTGACTGTACTGTTAGCTTTGCTTCTTGTAAACACATCATTGTAGCATGTCAGTAAAGCTTCATTCACTGTACTGCTAGCTTTGCTTCTTGTAAACACATCATTGTAGCATGTCAGTAAAGCTTCATTGACTGTACTGCTAGCTTTGCTTCTTGTAAACACATCATTGTAGCATGTCAGTAAAGCTTCATTGACTGTACTGCTAGCTTTGCTTCTTGTAAACACATCATTGTAGCATGTCAGTAAAGCTTCATTGACTGTACTGCTAGCTTTGCTTCTTGTAAACACATCATTGTAGCATGTCAGTAAAGCTTCATTCACTGTACTGTTAGCTTTGCTTCTTGTAAACACATCATTGTAGCATGTCAGTAAAGCTTCATTGACTGTACTGCTAGCTTTGCTTCTTGTAAACACATCATTGTAGCATGTCAGTAAAGCTTCATTCACTGTACTGTTAGCTTTGCTTCTTGTAAACACATCATTGTAGCATGTCAGTAAAGCTTCATTTACTGGGAATATGACCCAGCCAGAAGTGTCAGTTTTGTGTCTTTTCGGGGTGGCAGGATTAACATTAGGGCTGTACCGAATAGGGATTTTCACTATTCGGCTGAATACGAATAGCGGGACCAACTATTCGGCCGAATACGAATACGAATAGTGTATCAGCATCATCAGGTGCCTTGCCAACTGGCGTGGGTCTTGCCAAAATCTGCGATTTCCTGCAGCAAGTATTAGTTCTTGTCACACACCTCCATGCAATGCAACAAGACTGTCAAGAATCTTCTCTCGTTGTCTTCCTCTATCCCTTCTTCCACAGATCTTTCCAGTGGTCACCATATGTTTCATTTTTCCTCTTTTCATAACATGCCCGAAAAATAAGTACTGTCTCCTTCTGATGTCTGTGATTAGTTGTCTTCGGGCTCCCGCCTCTTTCAAAACCTTTTGGTTTTTGTGTGCTTTCCAAGGTATTTTAAGCATTGTTCTGTAAAACCACATCTCTGGGGCCTCAAGAAATTGTTTAGCCTTCCTACCTATTGTCCAGTACTCAAAGCCATATGTTAAAACTGGATGCTGTACCACGCAACCGGGTCGCAGTTGCCCCCGCTACGACAGACTTAGGCAACAGCAACTGTTGTGTTAATGAAAGAGTTATATCAGTCTATCGCAGTGTATGCAGAAACTGGTATAAGGTAACCACTATTCGTATTCGGCCCGACCACAAGTATTCGGCCGAATACCAAATAGTTATAAGGTCCACTATTCGGCCCCGAAGCGAATATGAAGCGAATATTCGGTACAGCCCTAATTAACATAACAAGTAAAACTGTTGTATGACAAAAATGTCTACAAGTATAGCTTGTAAATAACACGTATTATATTTATCACTGAACAAGTAAACAGGGAATTAATTTGAGCATTTCAAACGGATGTCTGCCAGGAATACAAATTTAGTCTATAACAGATACAATACAGAAGGTATTTAGCACATGTTGAATGTTGAATAAGGAATCGACATAATAGCATTCCAGACACTCCCATAAATGTTCCGTTCCCATCTTCAGCAGCAAGCAAAGAGTTTTAATTACAGTGGCATCAGTAATTATCTGATTGTATATCTGTGTCACCGTTCCCTTGGGTGTTGAGCGTCAGCCAAATCCCCTGGTAACTCCTTGCTGCGCCATTCCATTGAACCTTGAGTCTTGAGTGTCGGCCAGATTCCCTGGTAACTCCTTGCTGCGCCATTCCATTGAGCCTTGAGTGTTGAATGTCGGCCAGATCCCCTGGTAACTCCTTGCTGCGCCATTCCATTGAACCTTGAGTGTTGAATGTCGGCCAGATCCCCTGGTAACTCCTTGCTGCGCCATTCCATTGAGCCTTGAGTGTTGAGTGTCGGCCAGATCCCCTGGTAACTCCTTGCTGCGCCATTCCATTGAGCCTTGAGTGTTGAATGTCGGCCAGATCCCCTGGTAACTCCTTGCTGCGCCATTCCATTGAACCTTGAGTGTTGAATGTCGGCCAGATCCCCTGGTAACTCCTTGCTGCGCCATTCCATTGAGCCTTGAGTGTGAGTGTCAGCCAGATCCCCTGGTAACTCCTTGCTGCGCCATTCCATTGAGCCTT